AGGTGGAGCAAGGTTGGGCTGGGTGGGACAGGGTGGGGCTGGGTCTAGGTGGAGCAAGGTAGGGCTGGGTGGAGCAAGGTGGGGCTGGGTAGGTTTACAAGCGGGAGGATCATGTGGAAAGGATTGCTGAATCCCACAAGTCTGAGAAATTGGAGGGAAACCAAGGAGAAAACACATTAATCTTCTACTTGTGTTGTATTGACCAGACACAGGTCACATGACATCAGCAATACTGGATTTTGCTCTTTATTTTCTGTTTATCCATGTCCACAGGTGGAGCAGGTACTTCAGCTGCAAGCATTAGCTGAGGCACAGTTAGAATACCACAAACAGTCGGCAGACATTTTGGAAAACCTCCTGTCAACGCTCAACGATAGGTAGGCCAAGGTTGCTGGTGTTGAACTCATACTTAAGCCTACCACGCAGGTGGGTTGAGACACCCATGGATAGCATCTGCAGAATGCAAGTGTTGCCTTGCACTCGCTGTGGACTGTTAAACCGTCTCACTCACTGCCAAAATGGGATGGATCTTTCCTCACAGAACCAACTCTCATATAACATTAAAATGCATCGCAGGGTTTTAATGACTTTTTGGGGAGTTTCCTCACTTGTATGTCCAGCGCTCATGTGTCGGACTGCATGTCACATGACCTCAGCATCATAAGCTTTTGTTTGTGACATCTCCAGTAAACCTGTAGTCATACTGAGGGTGTCTTATTGTGTGGAGGTTCCTGATGTGATCATGGTCTCTCTGCTGACTCCTAGGATTTGATTGTTGTCAGCTGTTAGAGAATTCAGTCAAGCCCTGTCCAACTGGCAATGATACCATGTTGACACAAATGAACCCTCTCTTGTAAACCTCTGGGCATTTCACCAGTGGCAACCTCTGAGTAATAATACTAGTTTTGGTCTCAATCCATATTCTGCCTGTGTCACCAACCCCGTTCATCCTTTTCTCTGGCATTCCAGGGTACGAGAAGCAGAGAACAAGCCCAAGTCAGAACGCAGGCTTGTCTATACGACCAACTCATACTCCACAAAGAGGGATTCCAGCGACGCAGACGACACTGATGCGTATCCCCCAGGTTAGTGCTTCTGACATTGGTGGAGAGTGTGCGAGCTGCAGCTAGCAACAATCAAGCCCTGCAGTATACCCATTACAGAGTACCTAGCTATTTGTACTCACCGTTGTGGAGCATTTGACAAACGTTGCAATGGAAAGGTGACATCAAGAGGAGTCCATGACAAGTTGAATCTAGCTGTTTGGTCCGGGAGACCCAAAAAACATGGAAGACAGAAGAATCTCCTGACTGGCAGTCGCAGCATACTGCTGTGGACCTTCCTCCAGCAGTCTTTCCTGTGCAGAAAGCCAATAGTGCATTCTTTCTTTCAGCAAAGTTTCAAGGGACACTTAACTCAATTTGTTTTGAAGGTTTGATTTTTAGGGGGGGGAGCATTTGAAGTGTTGGCCCCAAATCCTCATAAATTAGGCAGGCCACCTCACGTTTAAATTGGGTCGGGAGTGGGTGCGTCTGATGGTCAGCAGTAGAAAATTACCATACCGAACAACTGCCAACATGGATCATTATTGCGCTATTACACTATCTGCTGATCCCTCTGCCAAACCTTCCAGTGATTCTGAGAGACCTTTAAAGGTCAGGGTTAGAGATGTCATTGCTTAAAAATATTGGAAGTTTTTCTTGTTGATTTTTTCCCCCCCTGATTTTTTTTCCCTAGTAACCACTGCAGCAACAAAGGAACAGTGTAGGGCGCTGTATGACTTTGAAGCAGAGAACGATGGAGAATTGGGCTTTCAAGAAGGTGACATCATTGATGTCATCAGTAAGATCGACGAGAACTGGATCGACGGGGAGCTGAACGGTCGCACGGGATACTTCCCCGCCAACTACGTGGAAATGATCTAAGTGCTTTCTTCGTCGTAGTGCTACTTTAGCCTGTACTTAGGCCTGCGTTAGCATCTGCTGCTCTCAGTACCTCAGGGTGTGGGAAAATGTAGCATTCTTGCTACTGTCTGCTCAGATTGTGTGAACCATCAATGGTTACCTTTCTGTCATCTTGAAATAACCATGTGATATAAGCGTGTATGGTCCTGGTCTGATGGAGAGTATGCTCTCACCTGCCTAGGGCTCATAACCGTGCTATTTGTGGGCTCCGGAGTATGCTCATGTTTAAAACAAACAGTGGAGTGTAGTCGTTAAATTCAAGAAGACTGTTATTGTGGTTTGAAGAGAAAAGCTCCCCTTGCTGGCATGAGGACTAGTTTACCCACAATACATCACAAGAGAAAGACAGCCAAAACGCTTGCAGTCTTGAGCAGCATATGTTATCGCTTGAGAGTAACTTCTCATTAACAAGTCTAACAATGCACTTAGGATGAACTGCTTTGCTTTTTCCTTTTCTACGTTTTTGTTCATTTTCACACTTTTGTAAATAGTTTACAACTTGTTTGGAGATGGGATCTTCTGTTTTAGCATGCTTTGGTCAGAATGCAGTGGTCACACTCTACAAACATCTAACAAAACAAAAGAAACACAATGCACTAACAATGAACATCCATTGTAATTGTACTGTGCTTGTTTTGCAAGATGTTTGTAGTGACAGGCTGTGTCAGCCAAAGGTGCTATTGATATGATGAAAAGTCTCAGCGTTACTTTCACGGCGACTTGACATGTAACTTATGTCAGAAGTCAGTGGCCCTTGGGAAAGAAATGCAAATGATTTGACGAGCACAGTTTAGAAGCCAATGCTGACAGGGTACCAGGCACTCATTGTCTCTTGCCTCATTGACATTAGAGGTTGGTGTGTATTTTGGCAAATGGTAAACGTACCATTGACCAAGGGGACATTTGGAGTGTGCAAACACACGTCTAGCTCAAGAGTGGCATTAGGTTATTGCTTGCACTGGATTAGTTTAGATCAAAAACATAAATCATTTAAATGATGAATTGGTGGTATTTAACCCCAGATTTCCTTAGCATTGAAACCACTGAGAAAACAATATGTCTTCCTCTGTTCTGCCCATACCAGCATCCTAAAGAGATATTGTGAATCTTTATACAACACCTGAATAAATCCCAATCAGTTAATTGGTGGGTTGTTCATCAGTTGTCATCAAATTGTTCAGTGTGTCAGTGACCAGTTGATAGAACCTTCTACTACTTGGCGCAGTATGTGGGCTCTTCATACAAAATGGTGGATGATCCAGATATTAAAAAAAGGTTCTCTCTAATAGATGAAGTCATTTCTGAACTTGTAAATGATGCGTGCACTTTGAATACAAGGCAACAAAGTAACGTAACTGTCAAAAGATGAGGGAGGCACAGAGGCATGCTTACTGAAGTGCTAATTAATTCAGAATAAGCCAACTGATTGTCACAGAAAGTAAGAACGATTTGTGATCACAAAAAAAAAATCATTCAGGCATTGTATAAAATGAAATGACCGTGCAATGGAAAGAACAATTTCATTAAGTAACGGACTGAATGTCTCATTCAACTGGGCTCTGCCTGTTGGAATAGAGCATTTCACCTGTCACCTTTGAAATTCTTACTGTTCCATTCATAAACATCCATTATTTGTATACAACCAATGAAAAAGCCTTGAAAATGTGAGTAAAAATGAACAACAAAAGGATGAGATATTTAACAGTACATCCTAGTGATACCATACTTTAATAAACAGTGTTAGGCACTACGAACATCTAACACAGTGCAATAACAGTGAGCATCCATTGTTATTGCATCCTACTTCTTTTGTTAGATTTTCATAGTGAGAGTAGTAGAGTATAATGTATAAATGAGGGGAAATGTTAAATCTTCGTTTGCTTTTTCTATTTGGAAAAATAATCTTACTGAGCAACTGATTCTTACTTACATGATGTGTTTATGATGTGTTTGGATGCAAGTTCTTTGCACAGCTACAAACAAAAGTGCAAGGGCTGTTCTTAGAAAAATCAGAGATACCAGAAATTATAAACTAGCTTTTGTTTTTAGGTAGATAGATATGTACCATATACATGTATAACCTATTTTTGTACAGTAAAGGTAAGTTCACAATTGGGGAACAGATACCTGTGAAATGTCTATAATCACAGTGATTTGTAGTGAATTTTGATTTTAGACATGACAAGCTTTACTCCTGTGAGTCTGAAAGCGGGTAGGAGATGGACAATTGGCATTTTGAGCATTTCCTGGTCATGTCATGGATTGAGTGAAGCCTTCATAAGAAAAGTACTGTTATTAATGGGCAATTCTTATAAAGTTGCAGTATTTATTGTTTTGTATTACAGCTGTAAAAGAAAAGTCGAAAAAAAAGACTTGTTTCAATTTTTTGCAGCCTACATGAAGCATTGTGTTTAGACAATCCCATGCTTCGTTATTAGAGTCCAAAGCGTAAAGTTTGTTGACGATGCCAAAATGACATGATGATCAAGAAGTCTTGTCTTTTATTTCATACATTTGTTTGTTCATTCTGTTGTATTTTTGATGTGTGGTTAGTTTCTCAACTTACCATTGCTGCAGTAGTTACCTGTTTCTTACATGAATGCTTGAATTGTATGTGGTCCTTAACAAATTCTAGTTTCAATTCCCATTTGGCAGGTCTCAGTGATTGTGTTAAGAGAATTAACTTTGCAATATGGCTGGTTCCACAAAACCTCTCACAGTGAGAGCAAATTTACGTTCTTTTGGTGTATTTGCGAGCATTTATGTGACACTGATGGCTTAGTTATATGGAAGTAATTCTTGTACATCTGTAGATATATTATGTCTCTATTTCAGCATGATTATGCCCTGCCAACTGGGGGGAGTGAATTGATCAATTTTTTGATCACCCTACAACAAAAACGCAGTGTAAATGAGACTAGTAGTGCGGAGATTGTTACAAGCAAATCCAGTGGCTTGACGACTTTAATTCCATTAGATATACCATGGAGGTAGACTTGCTACACCTGGAAACAGGCATAAGATCACTGTGGTCTCTAATCCGCCTCAAACAGAAGCACCCCCTCATCGGTTGAAAAGAGCCGCATTGGTCGGGGGTGTTCCATTTGTTGGTAATGATGCGACCGTAACGCGTGCATTTCATATGTTCGTGTCTTAGCGAATTTTAGGTCCAACGGAAAGACGCTTCAGTTCCTAAGACAATAGCGCCCTCTCTTGGTCCAACTTAAGGCCCAGTCAGTTTTCATTTCTTTCCATTTTTGGTCACTTAAGTGGAAATCAGCCTCTAAGTACGAATAATTTGGTTCATAGCTTGCACACCGAATGTACCGGCTGATTATTAACAAGTAATGCAATACAGAGAAATGTGCAAAATTGTTGCACACTGGGGCAAACCTCACAAGTTGCATGAACTTGTGAGTTCCTTTTTACCCTGCTTTATGTATTACATGTCTAACAGATTTGAGGAATTACTGTGAGACTAACAAGATAAATTGAATGTTTATGCTGTTTACTGATAAGTTTGTTTTGTTTTATTCCAGTTTTTTCCTCAGTGTTTCCATTGGCACTTTTAACCACGATTCCCATAAAGCAACTAAAACTCAACACTTGGTTCTCCTGAATACTGTTGAATTCAGGAATGTACAGTGCTGTGGCAATCACCCGTATCTATCCATCGAACTATAGGCCCATAGTAGTATATCGTATTAAAAGATTTCCATTTGAAAAATGGGAGCTATAAAATTAAGTCCATTCGTTACTTTAAGCTTTTTTACTTTATATTGTATGATATTGAAAAA